GATAGATAGATAGATAGATAGATAATTAAGACAGATAGATAGATAGATAGATAGATAGATAGATAGATAGATAGATAGATAGATAGATAGATAGATAGATAGATAGATAGATAGATAGATAGATAGATAGATAGATAGATAGATAGATAGATAGATAGATGGATTATTAAGAGATAGATAGATAGATAGATAGATAGATAGATAGATAGATAGATAGATAGATAGATAGATAGATAGATAGATAGATAGATAGATAGATAGATAGATAGATAGATAGATAGATAATTAAGACTGATAGATAGATAGACAGATAGATAGATAGATAGATAGATAGATAGATAGATAGATAGATAGATAGATAGATAGATAGATAGATAGATAGATAGATAGATAGATAGATAGATAGATAGATAGATAGATAGATAGATAGATAGATAATTAAGACTGATAGATAGATAGACAGATAGATAGATAGATAGATAGATAGATAGATAGATAGATAGATAGATAGATAGATAGATAGATAGATAGATAGATAGATAGATAGATAGATAGATAGATAGATAGATAGATAGATAGACAGATAACACTATTATCACATTTTAAATAAAACATATTGTCATTTTGAGTTTTATATTTTAGTTTATCCATGGATGTGTAATTATTTATTCAGCAGAAATCAGTATCAGATTCAATACACAACTCTTCAATACAATGACTTGTCTTAATAAAACCGAAAGTAACCAGCCAGAGTAAAAAACATTTATTCAGTACACAATTGTTTCATTATGAATATAATACATGAGTCATACTTGAGTCATAAGAACCTTCATAGGAGTCATACGTGTCGTCTTTGATAGAAGAATAGAATGTCTTTTATTGTCACTGTACACATATACAATTTACATTAGATACATGTGCGATGAGATTAAGTAAAGATGAAATAATATCAGAATTATTGTTGAATGAACTGATCATTTAAAGCCAAAGACAAAAAAAGCAAGCAAGAAAGAAAGGTACCTCGTTTGGTGTGGTGAATTGTTCCTTTAAAAAGCGACGTTGTCCGTCAGAGAGGAATGAAGAAATCATACATGTTCTGCATGTTTCACACTTCACTTGACCTAAACATGTCCAGCCCACTTATTAACACCAGTCTCATTAACACACTCATCTTCTCTACCAAACAATTCATCTATTATACTAATGCTAAATGTGTAGAAACAAACATCTGGAGTCACATCTGCTCTTCGTGTTTTCTAAACTCGGATTATTTACAGATAGATACATGTATACCTCTATGGGAAAAAGTCAGAGAAACATTCAGTGAATTTCTCTGTATTTATTAGCTATGATGAGTTTAAGTAAAATGAGTATTTGTTTAGTTTATAAAGGCCTGATTAATACACTGTAAAACCCAAAAAGTTTAGATTACTCAAATTATTTGAGGAAACCGATTGCAGCAAACCATTTAGGCTCAAAAACTAATCCTAATGAGTACTGTGAACTTAATCCATTTGAGTAAACAAAGCAATTTGAGAACAGTAAAACCCAAAAAATTAAGAGAACTCAAACCAAGTACTGTAAAACCCAATAAGTTAAAGCAACTCAAACCGTTTAAGGAAACCGATTGCTACAAACCATTTGAGTTAAAAAACTGATCTATATGAGTACAGTGAACTTACTCCATTAAAGTTGAAATAATGAGGTATTTAATTAACTCATTACCTTCAACTCTGAGTTTAAAACTCTTTTCAAATGAGTAGAAGTAACTTTCAGTAGATTTTGAGTTAACTACACTCATCTTATTTAATGATATTGACCGTTGGGTTTTAGAGTGCACTGAATACTGTCATTTAGATGATTTATTTTTAGAGCAAAAAAAAAATTCAAAACAAAAGCAGAGCACATTAACAGCACATTTCATCAAAATTGAGTTAAATTCTAAAATCAGCTTATGACTGTTCTATCAAAAGTCCCTTACTTCAACTTTGTCCCATTTCAGAGAAACAAGTGTCACAATTGCTTTCACTTCAAAATCCAAGCTGGTGCAAGAACTTTAAAGACATTTCTATTTTCATTTTCAGTGTCTGCACTCAATTTGTTCAAACTACTTATTTAAAATGAATTAAAAAAAACAATTCTTGAGAATTTTTGGGACAACTTGAAAATAAAGCTGGCCAATACACATTTAGATTTAAAAGAAATATCCTAATATTAAAAAGGATCTTATCAATCCTACCAATGATTGATCAAAACAAATGCCTTTAAATAATAAACCCTAAAATATAAACGAGATTAAGAAAAACACGTTAAAGTTAAGATGAGAAATATTGTTATAGAAACACTTTTGACTGCTTTGGGAAATAACACTCGTCGTAGACCTCATGGGATGACTGATTGTGAAGGAACGTGTAGTCTGCCACATTCGTTACCCACGACATGTCAAGATTTTATCAAGACAAAATTGCATAATCTGATGACACGGTGACTTTTGTAACTGATAATACAAATCTTGTGATCTGACGGGGCCTTTAATTGTTTATGTTCAATCTACTTTAATTTGTAAACACTAATAAGGTAACTAGGTGATGCAATGGCGCAGTGGGTGGCACGTTCGCCTCACAGCAAGAAGGTCGCTGGGTTGCTGGTCGATCCTTGGTTTCCCCCACAGTCCAAAGACATGTGGTACAGGTGAATTGGGAAGGCTAAATTGTCCGGAGTGTGTGTGTGTGTGTTTGTGTGTATGTTTCCCAGAGATGGGTTGGAAGGGCATCTGCTGCGTAAAAACTTTTTATTCTGCTGTGGCAACCCTGGATAATAATCAATAATTAATTAATAAAGGGACTAAGCCGACAAGAAAATGAATTAATGAATAATAAGGTAACTTAAATCCTTCATGTTGTCTCAACACAAATCGATTGTGTAGAACCCAGCATTTTTATAGCACACTGTAAAACCGATGACAGTCAAAATCACTAAATTAATTTAGTTAGTTTAACTCATTAACTGAGAACTCAAACCCAATGAGTTATGAATTAATTAATTAATTATATGTTTTGTGTTAATTCTAATGCTAGAAGCAATACCAAACCATTTGAGTAGCTACTGTTTATAGTTGTTTGGACTGTTTTGTTATACTGTGTTAACTAAACTCATATCGATTTGATAACTGAACTTAAAATGTTTAAATTACTACTAGTCTAAATATTTGACAATATTAACACAAATAATGCATGTGTATATGACTCAATTAGGCATGGGGTGGTATAAGATTCTGTCAGTATGATAACCTCAGATACAAATATCACGGTTTCACAGTTTGGCGGTATTGGGATTACTGATCTAAAATATATTATTTTTAAATGTCAGGGAAAAAACAAGAACTTTTTTCCTTTTTGAACACAATATATTTTAATCTGAGAAATGTTTAAAAAATTGAGCAGTAAACATGTCAGGCTTAATTTAAATGAATCATTTACTTCTGCTGTCTTCAATAGTTTTAAAAACACTGATTTTGTTATTATTTAAAACTGTATCTTTGGATATCTTTTCTGCTGGAGATGCTGTTGTCCTAAAAATATATATATATATATATATATATATATATATATATATATATATATATAAAAAATAATCGTACACATACCTCAGGAGCAGTATAGCAAAAAATTTTGGTGGTTTCTAAAACCCTGACTTTTCCAAACCGCAGTATACCTTGTAACGGTTATCGTCCTATGCCTATACTCAATATATATATATTAATACATGTGTTTACAGTCCAGTAAACCATTTTGGCTCTAAACTTAAATAGTTTGCCGCCATCAGTTTCTTTAAACAGATTGAGTTACGTCAACAGGTTTTACAGTGTATAGAGATGCACTTTGCCTTTGTGTGAATTTGTCAAAATAACAAATGTTTTCATTTGTTGTGATTTAAATATCAAGGTTGTTAAGTTACACTTTATTTTGATGGTTCGTTGAATGTTTTTTGCTATTTCTTCTGAGAATTTTGTAAAAAATCTGCAGATTATGCAAAATTATTTTGGGAGCATTATAACGAAAAACTTAATATATGAAATAAAATAATAAGTTTTTAACTTTTATTTAATGTTTACAATGCAAATCCATCTAGATCCACTTATTTACTAAACAAAGCAAGTCTCATATAATATATCTTATATTCCGAAATTAATATTAGTCGAAATTCATTTAAAAACTGAATAAATATAAATGTACACACATTTACACAAGTAAATAAATAGATTCGATGGGCTAAAAATCTGCGCAAATCTGTGGATTTCTGCACGCGCAGATTCCGTGTGGGCCTAGTTATGTTGCTTAGGTTAAGTGTAAGTTGACATGTACTTTTATGTACCGTAAGTTTCTTATAGTCAGTTAAATGTCTGTTAAAGAAGTAGTATCAGCAGATATTAAGCAGACAGTCTACTAATACGCAAATGCACCATCAAAATAAAGTCTAACAGTTGTTATTTGGTAACACTTTACAATAAGGTTCATTAGTTAATGCATTTACTAACATGACCTAATCATGAACAACACATGTACATCATTTATTAATCATAATTGAACATTTACTAATGCATTATTAGCATCCAAGTCCATGCTTGTTAACATAAGTTAATGCACCATGAGTTAACATGAACTAACAATGAACTACTGTATTTTCATGAACTAACGTTTACTAACATGAACAAATACAGTAGTAAATGTATTGTTCATTGTTTGTTCATGTTAGTAAATGCATTAATTAACATTAACTAATGAACCTTATTGTAAAGTGTGACCTGTTATTCCACCAAATTTTCTGAAGTTAAACAATTTGTATTGTCTTAAAAAATTAAAATAAACATGTTATTTTCACCAGTTGTTATTTTACACTCAACCACAATTTTTTTTATTAATATTGTGAATTTATAATTTAGCAAAACAAAGCACACACTGTTTTACTTAAATACATGACTAAAAACTCTGTGTGTCAATATAAAATTCAAACATTTTGAATAAACAGAAAAAATAATTATATATATATATATATATATATATATATATATATATATATATATATATATATATATATATATATATATATATATATATATATATATATATATATATATATATATATATAT